TTGCTATTGCTATTGCTATTGCTATTGCTTTTCCCCTGCCCTATTAACATCTTTGTAGAAAACGAAATTGAATCCCAGGTCCTCTTATATGAAACATCCGACATTTCCTGCATGTCTTCTCTTTCTCAGCTAGCTTATTCAATTGGAATCTCTTCTGTATTCAAAATTTACAGTCACATAGATGCATATGTACATGAGGATATAGAAAAGTATATATATTTGTCAGCTGCATTATTTTGGAAACTAAACTATGTAGTTCAGCTTCATTGGAATATAAAATTATGTATTTGGCCCTTTTCAGTTCCATTAATTTGTTCCTTAATATAAATATTTATTCAACTAATGCAATTAGAATATATACAATAACTATATTGTGAAAGCAGTAGAAATTTAGAACTTACTAGTAGGTGGTTTTTTGTCAAATAATTCCCGAACAAGGTAATTGAAGTCACATGTTACATGTGCAAGTTCATCTTGGCTAGTGTTTATATCAATGAGAGTTTCACCTTCATGTTCTTCCTCTCGTTTTAAAATTCCTCCAACAGCCCAAGTAAATGCAAATATGAAAATTTTCCCCAATAATATGAGCATTTTATTAGGCTCTTTTTCCCAAAACCATATCTCACCATCCCTGAAATTTATGAATAAAAAAGTTATCTTAATACAAACTTGTTGCTAAACCTCAAAAAGGATACTGTATTTATACTTTTGCAAGTTAATTTTTAAAGATCCTGAATATTTTATTAGTTATGAATGAACTGGCTTTTTACGTAACCTTTTGGTGAGGAAGAGCGAGATTCCACACTTTATTGACTTGCCATCTTTTGTGGTTTACTGATTTCATTGTAATCTGATTGTTATGAACTGCCCACAGCCACTGAGAGCCAGATGGTATACAAATTTTATAAATTATTGACAAAATCATTATCAGACACATTAACAAAATCATCATTAAAAAAGACACTGTATTTATACTTTTGTAAGTTATGTGTCTTAGACATAAGGTATAAAGATAGGCTTGCCATCTTGTATAGTTCCCAGTTTTATTGTAATTTGTTAGATTGTTATGAGCTACCAATAGTCATTCAGAGTCAAATGGCATAGAAGTTTAATAAATTATTGTTAGTGTTATTATTTTTTGGTCTGATATGATAGTTTACTATTTTGTCATTATTTTAATGAAGCAGTTTGGGTTAGTTAACTGGTATTACGTTTTTTTGCAGAAAATGAACAGAGTAGCATTATGTTTTTTAAAAACCAATAAAACATGAATGGGTGCAAAAAAAGAGGAAAAATCTCAAGTGATTAAGAATATACATGAATAGGAAAAAATATAAGGTGAGTGGTATCGATTGATGATTGCTATTATAAAGAACAGGAAGTTCCTGTTCGTATTGTATTGTATAAATNCTCCATCTGGGTGACTTTGAGCCAATCACTGGGAGAGAGTGAATTCTAGTACTGCCTTAGCTATGAAAGACATCTGGGTGACTTTGGGTCAATCACTCACTACAAGATAAGAGTCTATTTTGTTTTTCAATACTAAAATATAAACTTACCTATAATCAGTACTGGATGTTTTGACAATAAAAGAAGACTTGCTAGGAAGCTGTGACGAATTGTATCAATATTGGGAATAAATGTAGAGGCCTCCATTTTCTTTTCTTGATTTTCTAACATGTTATTATCACTATCAGAAAGATCTGATGTCTCTGAAGTTTAAAAGGTTACAATAATTACTTTAAAATATCAAAAATTGTTAAAATATTGTAAATCATGCCAGATGAAAAAATAAATAGATGACAGGTTGGAAAGATCAATTAGGCTATGTCATTCAACATTGCCAGGAAAAAAAAAGTATTTTAATATTGCCTTTTAGCCTTCAAGTCACTGAACAAGCAGGAAAAAGGAGGGCAGAGATGATTGAAAGTACAGATAAATAGAACCAGATGGAGAAATTATATAAATCCAGTAAAAATTTACTAATTAGAATTAGGTAATATTGATCTTTGTGAGGCACTTATATTTGCTGAAGTCATAATGGCTGTCTATGAATAGAAAAGACATTCATCACAGGTTCTTTTTACAGATGATGACAATGACATTTTCAGCTTAGTGGCTCAAAATTTACTTTTATGTCTAGATGACTATTCTCAATCATACAGTATTATGCTTTAGTTTCTAGAGTTAGGCTTTGGCATCTAGCATTGATCTCTGAATATATTAGCATTGTTCTCCTTCCAAACACTGAGCGTCTCACTTAATCTCTCAGAAATGTGTGTTTCTAAACTCTAAACTTATTCCATGTTTTCCAGGACTTTCAAAATAATTTAATAAAATGAAGCAGCTACAACTATACTCACCTTTCTGGATAAGAAATTGTGTGCTAGGAACTAAATGTCCCCATGGTTCAAATTCTCCTGTTTGTAAATCCACAAAATAATCAAAAACAGTTTTATCTCCAGATGGCATCTGAATATCTGAAAGTTCAAAAAATGGAAGGCATGTTTTATTATATAAAGTGTAAAATTAATGTGTGAATAGTGCATATTTTCTATAAAGTATATAGCAGATATATTTCTGTCATATAACCCTACCCTACCCACTCCTTGCACTGGCTTGAATGTATATAGATTCAAAGCAGGGAGACCAAATAAATGTGGATCTTAGATCCTGCTAAGAGCTGTACTTATGTCCAAGCAAGCTCAAATACAGCTCCCCTTCAGATTTTTGGAGGTGAAACCAGAGGTGGGTTCTTTTTTTACTTCTACGCATGCATGCACGCACGTACCCAAAGCGCATCTCTGAGTGAACCGGCAGTAAAAGCCAGAACCCACCCTTGGGTGAAACATTTACTGTGTGCATATGAACATTCCTGAGAGCAGGAGTCTGACCTGAGTGAGGGTTAACAAAAGTGTATTAGAACACAATATAATTATATAATGTTACAACAAATAGGAGTTTAATATTTAGGAAACACATAGGCAAAGCTTAACATCTAGCTTGCTACAATCTAGCAGGAGAAGAATCTAAGAGCATATCTGTTGTGCCTATGTGCCTGGGAAGAAAGGCAAAAAGGAGTGTCCTCAGATTAGCATTATTTTACTCTAAAAGCATATAAAGAAAGGACACAACAGTAAACTCACAACTCTATAAGCATGTTTCAAAAACTTTCTTTAAAAAAAAATCTAATTACATTTATATTAATGGTTCTGTTGCTAATTGGTAGACTTCTCATATGTGTATTCATATTTCAATAATGCTAATTTAACTAAATTAGTCTATGCGTTGCTGACAAGCAGCAACTTCCAAGGCTTTTGGAAGAGCCAAGGTGGCGCAGTGGTTAAAAGCAGCACTGCAGGCTACTG